CAATAATGAGGTGCCTTTGGAAAAGTCTCTTTATCTTTCTGAGTCTCATTTTGCTTAGCTCTCAAATGGCGAGGGTCACAATTAGACATTATGTAGGCTCCTTGCCAGGTGTAATCATCTACTTTCAGGAATAAATTTCCCTAACCCTTGGAGAGAAATACTCAAGGTATAGTTACAACCCCCCGCCAAACACTCATCAGTGCTGCTCTCTGAGAGGGGATCCTGGGCAGACAGTGTTTAAATCCCACATAGAGATGATTCTTTGCCAAAATGTTCTTGCCCTCTTAGTTGCTCGAGTTTCCGAGTGAAAGGATGTAATGGTATGCAAAAAGAACTTGCCAGCTTAAATATACCCGAACCTCAGTTCTATCATTTCTGTATGTTCTCCTTTCTATTTATTGGCTGCATTCTTGCCCCAGGATGCTGTTCCTTAAATGTAACAGTTTAGAAAGGATGTTAAATGGTGCTTGCCAGCACAAATGTGATAAATGATTCCATTTCTGGTGTCATTAACAAGGAGAGAAACCATAAAAACTACAACTCCCTTTCAGGGCCTTTCAGAAAAATCTTCATTTTTCACAACTGGCCATATTGCAGCCCTTAACTTCCCCTACCCTGTGCTCTGTCTTTAGGAGAATCCAGTTAGGGGAGGGGGCATATCCTGTGATTTTTCTTCTGAATTATCTGCCTGAGGGCTCTCTTTGATTATCTGTGGAACTTTTGTCTTTCACTTTTACGTTATTTTATTTTTCAGAACAATACTCAGATGCTTCTGGCAAAATGACGGTCATTCAATCTGAACGATTATATGAACAAATGCCCTAACTTCTCAGCCCATTTAAGTATGCTTGGAGGCTGCACTCATACTGAAAAGATTTTTTTTTTTAAGCTATCCATCGACTACTCTCAGTCTTAAATAAAACAGTATTATAGCATTTGGACTATTTGTGCCTCATCTCATTTTCAAGAACTGTCCAGTTGCCTTTTGTCTCAAAACGTAACTTTATTTGCCCCATTTTTAAAGGTTAAAAACCAGAGGATTACAGGGAAAACGCAATTTGTGTGCCAGGTTTCAAATTTCATTTTTCTTTATAAAAACTAAC